TTTAAAAATTATCAAAGTTGAAATTTATAATAAAAACATAGTAAGTGGACTCAAACTTTTGGAAGCAACTATATTTTTTTTTCCTTTTTATCAACTTATTCTTTTATAGTTTCCTGTATTTTAGTGACTTAATAAAACATTCGGCAGTAACAAATTATTAACAATGAAGTGGTGAACTAGAAGGATTTTTATTTAAAATCTGCTATAGAGTAAAATATTGTTCTCAAAGTCAAACTTAGAAACTATTATTGTCTATGATGAGTTAGTTAGATTTGAAATTGATATTTAGCTATAATATGTATTATACTACTCAAGTGAAAATATACTTACTTATATTTTCAATTGATTAATAAACTATGATCTAACCTGACTACAAGTATACAAAAAAAAAAATAATAATAATAATAAAATAAAAGTAATATTTTATTTTATTTTAAGATTATTTTTAAATTTTTTAAGATAATTATTAAAAATATTAATAGAACTATCAGAATTCATATACTTTTTTTATATTACAAATAGATCTAATTAATTATCTACAAAATATATTTATATTATAATAGATTTATGTTTACTTTTAAAATTTGAATATACTATAAGTTATATTATTTATTATATTTTCTTTATACTAATTTTATATCTAAAGTTTTAACCAATTTTAATATTTGATTTATTAAATTAAATAATCTTATTTTATTCAAAAATATTTCAATTGATATATTCATTATATCAATTAATTCATTTTTATTAATTATTAGCCAAAACAAATAATTTTTTAATAGCAACATAAAAATAGATTTCAATTTTATAAAGATATTTTTTTTTAAAACTTTAAAACCAACAATTTTGATTAATTTTTATGAAAAAATAGGATTTATTTTTTTGTAACACCAGAAATCTATCAAACATGATAAATTTTTTAAAAATCCAGTTTTTTATCTATTGCAATTTGTGCAATTTTAACTTTTCTTTCGAATAAACTAATAATTGCACCTTTTTCAAGTATTAATTCTTTTGGTTTAACTATTTTGAAATAAAAAACTATTTTATGACAAAAAATTTTTAATTGGTGGCTTAGATAACTGTTGCAGGTCGAAAACAGACTTACTGTAATTGTATAATAATAAATATATTATATAAACGAGATGCTAATCACTGAAATTGTCAACTTTCTTGTTTGAATCCAATGACGTCTATTAAAGAAAATGAACCTAGGTTATGGGGCAAAGTGTGTGTTATTACTGGTGCAGGTTCAGAAGCTGGAATAGGGTAAGTGGTTGCACACACCCGTAAATACTTATTAGTTCTAATTTCCTTTCTTCGATATTAGGCGTGCTACTGCATGGGCCTTTGCAAAAAATGGTATTTTACTTCCTTGCTTAGCAAATATTCTTAAATTGATTTTCTTGACGTTCATTGCGATACAGGAGCAAAGGCTATCTACATTACAGATTGGCGGGATGAATTGCTTCCGCAGCTTGCAAAAGATATAAAAGCAAAGTATTCAAACGTAGTGGTCGTCCCTCGGAAAGTGGATGCAGCATCGGAAGAATCGGTCAAATCGGTTATCAAAGACGCTGTCGATACTTTTGGGCGATTGGATATATTTTTTGCAAATGCTGGTAACGATGGTGTTAATCTTGTTTTCTGCTTCATTCATTCATAATAATTTTTTCTTATTCGATAAGGCATCGCAAAATTTACAAGGCTTGATGACTTAGAAGCTTCAAGGTTCATGGATATAATGCGGGTAAATTGATATATTATTTAGGTACCACTCCTAGCTTAAACATAAGTTTACGCTTATTTTCTTAGATTAACGCCCTCAGGTAAAAACCGTACAACTACAAACCTATATAATATATCCTTGAATTTCGAAGGAATTAACCGTCGTATAAAAACAGCGTTTTCCTGGCTATAAAACATGCATCAGCAGCAATGAAAATTGCAGGTGGAAGATCAGGCAAAAAAGGGCCTGGCGGATCTATTATCGCAAACGCATCAGGTTTTTTTCTTCATTCCAAAATGTGATAACATTACTTTCTGTACTGACGCGTGTTGTTGCCTTGAAATTATTAGTTGCTGGATTAAGGAACGGGGCAGGGCCTATGGATTATTCTGCATCGAAAGCCGCGTAAGAAAATCTATGCGAGTTTTATTGTGTGGTTCTCTTAACAGGCTTCTGATATTTGTTATTTAGAGTCATTAACCTAGCTCAAACAGGCGCTTGGCAGCTAACTGGCACGAATATCAGAGTCAATTCTATATGCCCAGTAAATACTTAATTTAATTTCTGAAAGTCATGATTTTAAATTTATAACTGATTTACTTAACATCATTTATGAGGGCCTTATTGAAACAAGTTTGACCAAGGTATTCTTTGACACTGCACGCCAACGCGGAACTCACCACAAGATTGGACAGTTAAATACTTTACACAGGGCAGGCCTCGCCGAAGAAGTAAGTTATGTTTAGGCGTTTTGCTTTTTCTTTGGGTCTTATTTCTAAATATGTGCAACTATATAAGGTTGCGAATCTAGTTGTCTTCCTTGCTAGTGATGAAAGTTCATATATTAACGGCCAAGCTTATGCTGTTTGTGGTGGATTATCTGCCTCCCTACCAATAGTACCGGGAAAACTTTAAATAATATATTATAGTGTGTTACTAAAAGAATTAACTTCTATTTTTGATTATAACTTATTGTTATTGGCAATTATTCTTTGAGTATATATATTTAATCATAATATAGTATAAAATTTTGATAAATGATAAATATTGAATATTCAATATGAAGAGTAAAATTAATACTTTTTAATATTTGATATTAATATTAAATATTAAATAATTTCAACTATAATAATAATTAAGTATATAAAAACTCTTTTTATTGATTCTCTAATTATATACAAAAAAGACATTTGCAAGAAATTTTATATATCTTTGTTAATAAAGTCTTAATATTATCCTTAAACTAACTTGAAGTTTTATTTCAAGAGTTATTTCTATTTTTCTTCTCTTGTTTATATTATTTTTCAGCAAAAACTTGATTTTAACACTAGTCGAAATTATGTCATTTGGCTGTCGAATTATTGCCGAATTTGGCAAAATTTAATAATAAAAATATTGACGAATTATTTACGATTGCTGCTACTTGGCATTAAAAATATTGGCAAAAAATCGGCAAAAAAATATCGGCATTCTGCGAAAAAAAAATTCAGCACAAAATCCGGTAATATTGCGGCAAAAAAAAATTTTGTGGTAAAAAAATTTGGCAAAAAAATTAATACTGCGGCAAAAAATTCGGCAAAAAAAATTGATACTGTGGCAAAAAATTCGACAAAAAAATTGATACTGTGGCAAAAAATTCGGCAAAAAAATTGATACTGCGGCAAAAAATTCGGCAAAAAAATTACTGCAGCAAAAAATTTGACAAAAAAATTATTGCGGAAAAAAAATTTGACAAAAAAATTACTGCAGCAAAAAATTCAAATTTCATGAAATTTATTAAAAAATTACAAATTCAATTAACTAAATTATTCGTCATTTCCCTCTT